GCAGAATGGGGTTGCTGAGCGCCGCATTGGCTTGGTCATGGAGATCGCTCGTACCTCCTTGATCCATGCGGCTGCCCCCCACTTTCTGTGGCCGTTTGCGGTCCGCTACGCTGCGCATCAGCTCAACCTCTGGCCCCGTGTCTCCGCTCCGGAGACTTCGCCGACACTGCGTTGGACGGGAGAGGTTGGCGATGCGTCGCGTTTTCGGGTCTGGGGATCTCGAGCTTTTGTTCGCGATACGTCCGCGGACAAGCTCTCCTCCCGCGCTGTTCCTTGTGTCTTCCTTGGCTTTGTCCCGGACGCGTCTGGTTGGCAGTTTTACCACGCCACCTCGCGCCGTGTCCTCCCCTCTCAGGACGTCACTTTTGACGAGTCGGTGCCCTACTACCGCCTCTTCCCCTACCGCACTGCCCCGCTCCCCCCCCCCCGCCTCTCTTCCTCGCGCCAGGTGCTGCTGTGGTAGACCCCCCCCCCCCTCAGGGTGCCGCTCCCTCAGGTGTGTCCCAGGTAGACCCGGTTGAGCCTGTCGAGGTAGCTGTCGACTCTCGTCCTGCTAGAGGTGCTGAGCCTGAGCGTGCGGAGCCTGGGGTTGCGGAGTCTGGGGGTGCTGAGCCTGGGGGTGTGGAGCCTGGGGCTGCGGAGTCTGGGGGTGCTGTGCCTGGGGGTGCGGAGCCTGGGGGTGCTGAGCCTGGGGGTGCGGAGCCTGCGGGTGCTGAGTCTGGGGGTGCTGAGACTGCGCGTGCTACACCTGGAGGAGCTCTCTCCTCGCAGCAGCTACGTGAGTGGTACTTACAGTACTGCAGTGCTCGGAGTGCTGCTGGAGCTGGAGCTCGTGCTTCCCCTCCTAGGCGGGAGCTGCCCTCTCCCCAGCGGCTCCGAGAGTGGTACGCTCGGCGCTGCAGTCTCCGGAGTGGCGCTCCTAGTGTCGCGGACCCTGGTGCTGCTGCTGCTGGCGGTGCTGCTGGCGCTGCTGGAGGTGCTACTGGTGCTGGTACTGCTGGAGCTGCTGGAGGTGCTGCTGCTGCTAACGCTGCTGGAGGTACTGCTGGCGCTGGTGCTGCTGGAGCTGCTGGAGGTGCTGCTGCTGCTGGCGGTGCTGCTGGCGCTGCTGGAGGTACTGCTGGTGCTGGTGCTGCTGGAGCTGTTGGAGGTGCTGCTGGAGCTGCTGGAGGTGCTGCTGCTGCTGGCGCTGCTGGAGGTGCTGCTGGTGCTGGAGCTGCTGGAGGCACTGCTGCTGCTGGCGGTGCTACTGGAGCTGCTGGAGGTACTGGTGCTGGAGCTGCTGGAGCGGCTGGTTCTGGAGGTGCTCGTGCTGGAGGTCCTGGAGCTGCTGGGGTCACTGCTGGTGCTGCGGGAGTTGTAGCTGGAGACCCTGGGGCTGAGGGTACTGGTGCTGTCTCTGCTGGTTCAGGAGGTGCTGAGCGGCCGCGGCCGTACTACCTTCCGCTTCTTCAGCAGGTTCTTGGCCTCTCGCCCTCTCCTGGTCCTACTCCTCCCCTACTCAGTCCACCGCCTGTCCAGTCGCAGTCACAGTTACAGCCAGCCTCTCCACTGCCTGGTCCTTCTCCTTACACTGAGCCGACGGGAGGTCTTACGGAGCGTCGTGAGCCTGAGTCTCGTCCTCCGTCGCCTGAGTCTCGTCCAGCGTCGTCTGAGTCGCGTCCAGAGTCGCCTGTCCGCGCTGTCCGCGCTGGTCGTCGTGCTCCGCGTGAGCGACCTCCTCCTGTCCCTGGCACTCACTATATGACTCTGCGTCCTTCCACTGCTCCACAGCGTGTCCCTCTGCCGTCTCCTCCTGCGTCCTCTCTTCCTGCTCTTGCTGACCCGGAGTCTGACTCTCTTCATGCTGCCAGTCCTACTGTCACGCGTCTCCTTGCCACTGTTGTCACTGACCCTTCCTTTGAGTCCTCTTCTGCGTCTGCTCTAGTCGCTGAGCTTGTTGTCTTTGCTGCCGCCTGTCGTCTAGACTACGCCGCTAGCCTTGTTGCTGAGTCTGAGTCAGTCTGTCCTCCGTCCGTCGGGGGTGAGTGTGCTCTTGGCACGGACGTCCTTGAGGACAGACAGGAGGAGTTTGAGTGCTTTGCCGCTGCTTTGCCTCATCTCGTGTCCATGCTAGTTGCCCCTGAGGGAGACCCGGATGCACCAGACATCCCGACCCCACGCTCCTACGCAGAGGCGATGGAGGGTCTCTACTCCTCTCAGTGGCAGACAGCCATGGACGCAAAGATGGCTTCCTGGAAGTCCACAGGCACCTACGTCGACGAGGTTCCCCCACGTGGATTTTCAGGGTGAAGCGGCCGCCGGGTTCTCCGCCTGTCTTCAAGGCGCGTTACGTTGCTCGAGGCTTCAGTCAGCGAGAGGGAGTTGACTTCTTCCAGACCTTCTCCCCGACCCCGAAGATGACAACTCTTCGGGTTCTGCTGCACGTCGCTGCTCAGCGTGACTACGAGCTCCACTCTCTTGACTTCAGCACTGCGTTCCTACAGGGCAGCCTGCACGAGGAGATCTGGCTGCGCCGCCCACCTGGCTTCACTGGGTCGTTCCCTCCTGGTACCCAGTGGAGCCTCCGGCGGCCAGTCTACGGTCTCCGCCAGGCACCCCGTGAGTGGCACGACACACTGAAGACTACGCATGCGGCTCTTGGGTTTGCTCCTTCTACTGCTGACCCGTCGCTGTTTCTACGCACCGACACCACTCTGCCGCCGTTCTACGTTCTCGTGTACGTCGACGACTTGGTCTTTGCTACTGCTGACACTAAGGCACTCGCCCACGTGAAGTCGGAGCTGCAGAAGAGACACACGTGCACAGACCTGGGTGAGCTGACAAGCTATCTTGGCTTGCGGATCACCCGGGACAGAGCACGACGCACCATCACCTTGACTCAGTCACACATGGTGCAGCAGGTCCTTCAGCGCTTCCGCTTCACGTACTCCTCGCCTCAGCCCACTCCTCTGCCTACCGGTCACTCGCTCTCAGCTCTGCCTTCGGATGAGTCTGTAGAGCCGAGTGGCTCGTATCCAGAGCTTGTGGGCTGCCTCATGTACCTGATGACCTGCACTCGACCTGACCTTGCATACCCTCTTAGCATCCTAGCACGCTATGTCGCTCCTGGCCGTCACCGGAAGGAGCACATGGATGCCGCTAAGAGGGTGTTGCGCTACTTGTGCAGTACGTCGGGCATGGGGCTTGTGCTTGGAGGACGGCGCGACGTTGTCCTCACTGGACACTCAGACGCTTCTTGGGCTGACGACCAGGCTACGCAGCGGTTGTCTCAGGGTTACACCTTCAGCCTTGGCTCTGGCTCTGTTTCCTGGCGTTCTAGACGCTCTTCTTCTGTTCTCAGCTCCAGTTGTGAGGCTGAGATCTACGCCACAGCCATGGCGGCCCAGGAGCTACGCTGGCTCACCTACCTGCTGACCGACCTCGGAGAGCGGCCTCGTTCTCCTCCAGTGCTGTACGTCGACAACAAGGCAGCCATTGCCTTGTGTGAGGAGCACAGACTGGAGCACAGAACGAAGCACATCGCTCTGCGCTACTTCCTAGCGCGAGAGCTGCAGCAGAGGGGTCAGCTTCGTCTCTTGTACGTGGCCACTCGGGCCAACACTGCTGATGTGTTCACCAAAGCGCTTCAGCCTTGTGATCATCAGCGTTTCTGTACTGTTCTAGGCCTTGTGCCTACTCTCCCTCACTTGCTCACTTCTTGACTCTGCTTGTACTGTGATCTCTATATATATACCTGCATGCTTACACTTGCTAGGTTGTGATCACTGTACCTCTTGTTCTATTATCAAACTGCATGTGAACTGGTCTTGTGACCACTTGCTTGTGCTCGGAATTTGTGTGGTATCCTTGAGATCCACCCTGAGCTTGTCTTGCTTTGCTTTGCTTTGAGTGTAGCAGGCAAGTTTGATGGAGGCTTGGGGGGCGTGAGGGGAGGGGAGAGGAAGGGAGGGAAGGGCGGGAGATGAGATCCAACAGCGAGGGACATGATGGGAGCAGATGGTTTGCTGGCGGAACGTCGAGTGAAATTGAGGGCTGCCCACGGGCAGAACGCACATGATGTGCTGTGATGTGATGCGATGTCTTGTATATTTTGACCAACAGACTCCCCCCCACAGATCCATGCATTGTTCGAACGCGTCCCGAGACTTTTTTCATGACACATCGTGAGCGTTGCTTCGAATGGCGGCTGATCCTGTGAGTCGTCGATGCAATACGCAGCGAAACAGCGCGTTTCTCCGCCATGACGGAAACGTGTAGACTTTCGTGACACTCCCCGTCAAGGAGGCCACGACACGAGGACGACTCACCGCCACTAGCGGACACTCAAACGGGACCAATCCAGTCAGAATCATTCAGGATAAACATGCACGTTCACTTCTCCAATCAGGTGCGTCGGTGCTGGTCAGACATGGGCTGGTCTTGAGTCAGCTTCGGATTTCGAAGGCAAGTTCGCTGCGCCCCCCTACCCAGCTTCCTTCGGCAATGTGGCTGAAAAAATCTTCCCGTAGGGTGGCGAGATTCCACGTCATACTTGACTGGACCACGTGTCTGGAACAGCAAGAATCAATTCAGATTACAGTACAACGCAATTCCGGTACAGCGACAATCCAAGTAACCATATCCCTACGTCCATTGTACTCATCATTGCAAATTAGTCACCAGTACCACTAAGGTACTTCAGAACCTAACACCCTAGTATTGATCTAAAACTGCTAAGAAAAAAAACCTAATGCAAGATGCTTTCCCATCGATATCAACTACATGCTCCCGCCGGCAACATTAAAAGCTAGAATGAAGTTAGCGCTTCCGACGGTTGTCTTCAACGGGAGTAGGGTTGCCCTTCTTCATCATGGCACAGAACTCGTTATAGTCAATGCGGCCATCCTGCCACAGCAGCAACGACCCAACATAAGAGCATCAACAATGAAGCCCACTTGGCATATGAAACATCATCCTATGCCACCAGACCCCCCCATGACGCACACACACACCCCTCCTCAAAGCACACTCACATTATCCGAGTCCACCTCCTGCAGGATGGCGTCAATCTCGCCTGCCAGCAACACTCTATGTGCAAGGCGTCTACAGCATTATACCCCATGCACTCAAAGCACACTCACATTATCCAACCCCTCACAGCGCACTCACATTATCCAACCCCTCACAGCACTCACATTATCCGAGTCCACCTCCTGCAGGATCGCATCAATCTCGCCTGGCAGCAGCGCCTCCTCCTTGGACAGCGCCTCCCGCAGCTCGTCCACCGTGATGTACCTGGTGAGGGGGAAGGGGGAGGAGGGGGGAGGGTGAGAATGTCGGTTGGACAAGGTGTGGTTATGGAGTGGGAGACTGCTTGAAGCAGCAGCGCCTCCTCCTTGGACAGCGCCTCCCGCAGCTCGTCCACCGTGATGTAACTGGTGAGGGGGGAAGGGCAGGAGATGGAGGCGGGGGGGGGAGGAGGGGTGGTGTTTGGTTTGGGCAAGGGGAGTGCAGCACACTGCTTGAAGCAGCCCACCCACTGCCACACACACATTCACACCTTTAAACAATGACATGCCAACCCCACCCACCCATCAGCCCCATGCACGCACCCGCTGCCGTCGGCGTCAAAGTGTTGGAAGGCCTGGAAGAGGTTCTCCTCCTTCCCACTGCCACTCACGCAACACTGCCGCATGCCATCACAGTCAGGGTCTCGCAGTCACATGCAATCAGCTTCAATCAACTCACCCGCTGCCATCAGCGTCAAAGTGTTGGAAGGCCTGGAAGAGGTTCTCCTCCTTCTCCACCTTGTTCATGTGGATGGTGGCCGTTATGAACTCCTGGTAGTCTATCGTCCCGCTGTTGTCCACGTCAGCCTGCCACGTGGCACCACATGGGACGGACGGGTGGGAGGGCGGAAAAGGTGGGAGAAGGGGGAAGGGATTTGGTGGTGGTGGTGGTGGTGGAGATCGAGAGATCGATAGTTCAGGTTGGCACAGGATGAATGTGATGGAACTATCAGACTACTCACCTTCTAATCAAGGATAGCTCATCTTCTTCTTCAGCCTTTCCTTCCGCTCCTTCCAAGTCAACCCAAAACACACTCACCGCATTTGCCAGCCATCCCCTTCATAGGGCAACTCGCTGCTGGATTACTCACCGCCTCCATGAGCTGTCGCACTTGCTCCTCGGGCATGTTAGACCCCCATCTTCTCCCCTCCAGTCCCTTGAGAGTCAACCCAACACACACTCGCCGCCCCATAAGATGCCTCACCGCCCCACTATAAGTACCACGCTGCACCGCACTGCTGCACCACTCACCGCTTCCATGAGCTGCCGCACTTGCTCCTCGGGCATGTTAGACCCCATCTTCTTCAGCCCCTCCTTGAGACGAACCAACACACACTGACCGCCCCCATAACCTGCCCCAACGCCCTTCACCACCCATCCCCTTTAAAAAGTACTTCGTTGCTGCACCACTCACCGCTTCCATGAGCTGCCGCACTTGCTCCTCGGGCATGTTGGACCCCATCTTCTTGAGCCCCTCCTTGAATCGACCCAACACACACTCACCGCCCCCATAAGATACCTCATCGGCCCTCACCGCCCCCATAAGATACCTCATCGGCCCTCACCGCCCCCGTAAGTACCACACTGCACCATACTGCACCACGCTACACCGCACTGCACCACTCACCGCCTCCATGAGCTGCCGCACTTGCTCCTCGGGCATGTTACTCCCCATCTTCTTCAGCCCCTCCTTGAGCTCCTCAAACGTGATCGACCCGCTGCCGTCCTCATCGATGCTCTTGAACATCTCCTTCAACCCCATGATCTCCTCCTCCGACATGTGGCTTGCGATGACCTGAGGTGAAAGGAGCACAGGGACGGAGTGGGACAAGAAACAGGGGGCACGAGGGGTTAAGGCACGAATCGACCCGCTGCCGTCCTCATCAATGCTCTTGAACATCTCCTTGAGCCCCATGATCTCCTCTTCCGACATGCATGTGGCTCTCTATGACCTGAGGGAAAAAAGGGAATCGGAGGGACAGAGTTGAGGCAAGGGTGACCAGAGCTGCATTCCTCGTCGATGCTCTTGAACATCTCCTTCAACCCCATGATCTCCTCCTCCGACATGTGGCTTGCGATCCCCTGTGTAAGGAACAGGGATAGGTGGGGAGGAGGGGTAAGGCACGGATCAACTCGCTGCCCCATGAACTCGAACCTCTCCTTGAGCCCCATGATCTCCTCTCCTCTGACATGTGACTCGCGAGCAGTAATGCACATAGGCCATGGGAGCAGGGAGGACGCAAGGGATTGAATAAGGCAAGAAATGACCACACTGCTGCCGTCCTCGTCGATGCTCTTGAACATCTCCTTCAACCCCATGATCTCCTCCTCCGACATGTGGCTTGCGATCACCTGTGTAACAGGGGTAGGTGGGGAGGAGGGGTAAGGCACGGATCGACCCGCTGCCGTCCTCGTCGATGCTCTTCAACACCTCCTTCAACCCCATGATCTCCTCCTCTGACATGTGACTCACGCAAGACGCTTAATCTTGTTCATGGCGGAGAACTGCTTCAGCTTCGCCACCAATGTGCACCTCTACCAGCTCCCGCCTCTCTGAACACCTCTTTACTCCTCACCTTGAGAGCGAGGCGCTTCATCTTGTTCATGGCGGAGAACTGCTTCAGCTTCGTGAGCACCGCCGAGTCCAGAGGCACGTCCGACGCCTCTCCGTCCACCTTCACCCACGGGTGCTCTGCACGGAGTGGGGGAGAGGACGGGGCGGGACGAGAATAGATAGGAGTGAGGGGAGAGGAATGGCGAGCTTGAGAGCACCGCCGAGTCAAGAGGCACGTCTGACGCCCACAGGTGCTCAACAGGGAGGGTGGGAGGGGAAGATCGCGGGGTGAGGGAAAGGAGGGGATGGGGGCGGGGGGGGTTTGAGAAGAGGTGCTCTGCAGGGAGAATTAGCAGGATGAACGGGTGAAGATGGGGAAAAACGGCAAAAAAAGGGGATGAACGGCCATGATCCTTCGGGCGACTCACAAGCGGGCCAACATAAGGTCTTTGACGTCCTGCAAGAACCTAGCGTACCCCCTATCATCCCCATTGTGACCTAAGCGCCTCAGCGCAACTCATGGAGCACTTCACGCGCCATCATGCGGTCTTTGACGTTCTGCTTGAGAATGCGCCAGATGAGGTCCTTTGCGGACGACGGGTAACTCGCTCAATACCCCATGTTTGTAGGGGGAACTCGCACACTATCCCCGTGTTCCTATGGGCAACTCACACAGCTCTTTGCGCGCGGACATGCGGTCCTTGATGTCCTGCCTGCTTGAGCATGCGCATGATGAGGTCCTTTGCGGACGACGAGATGAGCGGCTAGGGCAGCCCAGCTCTCTCTCTCTCTGCGGGTAACTCGCGCAATACCCCTATATTCATATGGGTAACTCACACACTACCCTATGTAAAAAAATGCGACTCACGCAGTACTTCGCGCGCCGACATGCGGTCTTTGATGTCCTGCTTGAGCATGCGCTTGATGAGGTCCTTGGCGGACGACGAGATGAGCGGCCAGGGGTCGGAGGAGAAGTCGATGTGGCCCTTCAGCACCGCGTCAAAAATGCCCTGCTCCGACTCTGGTGGGGTTGTTGAGAGAGAGGGGGAAAGGGCGGACAGAGCGCACGTGAGGTGTCGGACGAGAAGTCAATGTGCCCCTTCAGCACCGCGTCGAATATGCCCTGCTCCGACTCTGGTGGGGTTGTTGGAGGCGGGGGAAAGGGGGGAAAAGCGCATGTGGGGTGACGGATAAGAGAGGGGAAGACAGCGGTGGGAGGAGAAGTCGACGTGGCCCTTGAGTACCGCGTCGAATATGCCCTGCTCCGACTCTTGTGGGGTATGCTCGAGGGGATACGGTAGATTGGATGGGGGTAACGTCGATGTGAGCACCGCGTCGAAGATGCGCTGCTCGACTCTCGTGGGTGGGATGAGGGCTCGGGGGGGCAGAGCGAAGAGGGGTGAAAATGGGGAATGATATTCGACACGAGGCAGGAAACTAGGGTTGGGGTCAACCCTCAGAAGGACGGACGGCAAACTCACCGGCCCAGAAGGGCGGCACGCCGCAGAGCAGGATGTAGAGGATGACGCCGCAACTCCACACGTCCGCCTCCGGCCCGTACTTTCGTCGAAGAACCTCGGGTGCCACGTAGTACGCGCTGCCCACGATGTCGGAAAACGTTTCGCCTGCCCGAGCGGATCAGGGATGAGTGGCGAAGAGTGGAAGGGAAAGGGATGGGAACAGAAAATAAAAGGTCAGGCGACGCACGAAGCAGGGACTGGTGGCAGTCATTGTCGCATTCCCTATTTCTTCGGGTAGGTGAGACATGACATAAATAGTCCTACATGAGTTTAGGGTTCGCCCTACCCATGGAACAATTCCAGAACCCAATGAGCCAAAATAAAAAAGAGTACACACAAATGTTTATCATTCAACCTAGCAGCGGCCAGCTCACCTGGCTTGTAGAAGATGGAGAGGCCGAAGTCAGTGGCCTTGAGCGGCGCGTTGACTTTTGCATGACTCAAAAGTAAACTCGGAACACCATTTCTACCATCCAATCTAGCAGCGACCAGCTCACCTGGCTTGTAGAAGATGGAGAGGCCGAAGTCAGTGGCCTTGAGCGGCGCGTCCTCCTTCTTGCTGGCGAGGAGGAAGTTCTCGGGCTTGAGGTCGCGATGCATGACGCCATTGGCGTGGCAGTACTCCACGACCGACACCACCGTGCGGATCAGCGTCGCCGCGGCGCGCTCGCTGTAATGCCCGCGCGCGATGATCCGATCGAAGAGCTCTCCACCCGCGCAGAGCTCCATGACGATGTGGACCGAATGCTTGTCCTCGTACGCGCCCTTCATTTTAACGACGTTCGGGTGGTCGACGAGGTGGTGCATGATCGCGACCTCGCGCTTGACGTCCTCCACGTCCTCCGCGGTGACGAGCTTGCGCTTCGCGATGGACTTGCACGCGTACTGCTCGCCCGTGCTCTTGTCCGTGCAGAGATAGGTTACGCCGAACTGGCCTCGACCCAACTCGCGCCCGATTGTGAAGTGGTTCTTCACGTCCTCCGCCGGCCGCCCGAGCACGTTCGCCGTCAAGTTGCCCGCTTTTTTGGATCCTCCGGACGCGGATTTGCCGGCTGTTGGAGGTGCGGAGTCGCCTGCGGTAGCAGAGGCGGCGCCAGCATCGGTTGCTGCAGCGGAGGCGGATGACGGAGCCGCGGCCTCCGCTTTAGGCGCAGCGGAGGGACCATCGTCTGTTGCGGGCTTCGAAGCGCAACAGCCCATTTTATTTTTTTATGTAGGAAAGAGTATCTGTGTATCAATCAGCCGATGATGTAGTAGGCAACTGTTACGAGCTTGCTAGAAACTACAGGCGACTGTTGCAAGTCTGGAAATCACGATGTCTGGTGAAAATTACGATTTCTGTCACCTAGGGCTCCTGGTTTCTGAACTTCTCAGCCTAGTGAGCTCGCAAACTTGACCGGAAACCGTAGTACAGAGACGCACCGAGCGGAAATAGTACGAACGAACGGACAGTCCTACACGAGGCCTAGTGCAGAGAAACGGAAAAGCACACACCACGGCGCCTTGAGCTAGTCGAAACTATTTGGTGAAAACCACCTCCTAGGGAATTGTCTTGTCAGGTGGGAGGAGGGAAAGGCACGCAGGACCCGATAAGACGGAACTCCCCCACGGCGGAGTGCGCAAACAAGCTACTCTCCCACCTTAGATTCCTTTCATGAGAGCCTAAGCATTTCAGAGCAGTGTGAAAAAACATTCGATTCCCCCTCTCTCAATGTGGGGTTTTGTTTGGGAAATGTTTGTGATTCCTGTGAAGAAGTTCTTGGAAAAGTACCAGTGGAAAAACTGTTAGTTCTCAAGTGTTCTACCTTTTTCGTCAACGCTCCCCGAGTGAATTGTGTGTGCGGAGGGGCCATCCTCGCAACCGCATGCAAACAGCAGCAAGCGCAGATGGTTGGGTTGGGTCTGCCGCACGCATATGCTCGGAGGGTGCCCCTTGGGAATTCCCCGCAGCTTGGGAGAAGGCAAGACCGATGGCGGCGCGCTTCTCTCTCTGAAAGAACGCGACGTGTTGGCGAAAATATCAACGGTAAGCCGACGCGCTCTGGTGGATTAATAAGGGCTGAGTGTATTTTACAGAGTGGAAAAATAAACAAAACCGAATCGAGGCTTTGAAGCAGTGTAACAATATGCTTAAACTCTATCAATTGCTTATTGATCCCACAACAATACCACTTGCCATACCACTAGCTAAACTTGTGCTGTGTAATTTCCGAGGGATTTTATAACTACTGACTCAACTAAAGGTTGAGAACTAGGTCCAATCCATCATCTTGCGCCCCCGTTTCCCTATCACCATTAATTCCTGGCGTTGCTTCCAATGACGGTTGCTCTAACACATGTTCTCCCTCCTCATTCCTTGGTACTGGTGGCTCACCTTGACGGGATCCGCTTTGGGCTTGGGTGAATCTATTAGCTGTTGCACTTGTAACATTTCCAGCCGCATCGTAACCAGCAGATGCATTTGTATCATTACGGCTCCCCATGTGCGCATGTAGCAGCCAATCCTGCACAGTGTTAGGGTTGAAACCAAGACCACCAACGTACTGCAGCTGCTGCTGCTGCAGCTGCTGCATTTGCAACTGCTGCATCTGCTGTTGTCGTAGCATCTGCTGCTGCAGCAGCTGCTGTTGCTGGTACTGTGACTGCTGGGCAAGCAGCAGAGACTGGGAGACAGGAGTCACGTTCTGGTATGGAGAGGGGATGGGTGCTTGCTGTGTGAGATACATCTGAAGGGCTTGATTGTAGGCCGAGAGGAATTGAGGTGTGGAGGATGGGAATGGGGGTGTGGAGGAGGGGAATGGGGGTGTGTAGGAAGGAAATGGGGGTGTGGAGGAGGGAAATGGGGGTGTGGAGGAGGGAAATGGGGGTGTGGCGGAGGGGAATGGGGGTGTGGAGGAGGGAAATGGGGGTGTGGCGGAGGGGAATGCGCCAAAAGGATTAGGAAAGGTGGAGTGGGGGAGAGGTTGCTGGGAAGGCCAAGAGAGTGGGTTAAGAGCAGCGAGTGGGTTGGGGTGCATGGGAGGCTGTATGGGGGGTTGGGGATGCTATGGGCGACTGTGTCGGGGGGTGGGGATGCATGGGAGGCTGCGGTAGGGAGGGAGCTGGTACAAGGTTGAAGGACGGAAGGAACGGCTGGGTTGGAACTGCTGGATATGCTGGTGCTGGCACTGCTGGCGCTGCTGCTACTGGTGCTGCTGCTGGTGGTGGTGCTGCTGCTGGTGGTGGTGCTGGTGGTGGTGCTGCTGGTGGTGGTGCTGCTGGTGCTGCTGCTGCTGGTGCTGCTGGTGGTGCTACTGCTGGTGCTGCTGCTTCTGGTGCTACTGCTGGTGGTGCTGGTACTGATGCTGGTGCCAGTGCTGCCACTGTTGCTGCTCCTGCTGCTGCTACTGCTGCTGCTGCTGCGGCTGGTAGTGCTGCTGCTGCTGGCAGTGCTGGGGATGCGGCCGCTGATAGTGCCAGGGACGTAAGAACCCTCTCAGCAGTAGACCGAACCCATGCATCTGAAGCACCTGAAACACCTGAAGCTCCTGCAACAACTGATGTGCCTAAAGCAGCACCTGTGGCAGTAGCAGCAGCACCACCAGCACCTGAAGCACCGGCAGCAGAAGCTGCTGCTGCTGCAGCCACCTCGCGCCTGACCACGGAGAGCACATGTGACACAAACGAAGGGTCCTGTAGAAGCGCCTCTTGCATCAACGACCGCTCCTGTGCTTCCTGCTGTTGTTGCTGCTGTGAATTCTGATGCTGCTGTTGCTGCTGTTGCGGTTGCTGGTGTTGTTCTTGCTGTTCTTGCTGCTGTTGCCTCCGCTGTGGTTCTTGCTGTTGCTGTTGTTGCTGCCTCTGTTGTTGCTGCTGCTGCCTCTGTTGTTGCTGCTGTTGCTGCTGCCGTTGTTCCTGTTGTTGCTGTTGCTGCTGTTGTTCCTGGTATTGCTGTTGCTTCTGCCATTGTTGATGCTGCTGTTGCCCCTGCTGTTCCTGTGAATGCTCCCCTAGTTGTTCCTGTTCCTGTTCCTGTCGTTGCTGTTGTTGCCGCCCTAGTTGTTTCTGCCGTTGCTGCTGTCGTTCCTGTTGCTCCTGTTGCTCCTGTTGCTGCTGTTGTTCCTGCCGTTGCTGCTGTTGCTCCTGCTGGTGCTGTTCCTGCTGTGCAGCAGGAGGGGAGGCCGCAGAGGCAGGAAGGAAGGAGAAGAGAGGCAGCTCTGACCATAGAAGACCCTTCTGGGCCTCACCTCCCACTCCCTCCCCCTCACTCCGCCGCCCCACTACCCCACTACCATTCCCCCGCCCCACTCCCCGTCCCTCACTCCCGTGCCCCACTCCTCTCCCCTCACTCCCTCGCTCCACTCTCCCCCCTCCACCCCCTCTAACCCCCCCGCCCCACCATATCGCTATCCTCATTGTCCTCCTCTTCCTTCACCTCCCCTCCTCCTACCATCTCTCTACATCCATCCATCCCTGTCAACCCTTGTGTTGCTCCGCCATCCCCCATTGCCCAATACCCGCCCATTACTCCGCCCTCCCCCATGGCTTGGCCCCTATGCATGGGTCCCCCCTCCCCCAAGCCTCCGCCCTCCCCCAAGCCTCCGCCCTCCCCCAAGCCTCCGCCCTCCCCCAAGCCTCCGCCCTCCCCCAAGCCTCCGCCCTCCCCCAAGCCTCCGCCCTCCCCCGTGCCGCCGCCCTCCCCCATGCCTCCGACTTCCCCCATGCCGCCACCCTCCCCGCTTCCGTCCTTCCCCTTGGCTCCGCCCTTCGTTTTGGCTGTCCCTATCTCTTCCTCCCTCTCACTCTCTTCCATGTACGGGCTCTCCCTCCTCCCACCACTCTCTCCCCTCCCACCGCTCTCTTTCCTCCTATCGCTCTCCCTCCTCCCATCACTCTCCCTCCTCCCATCGCTCTCCCTCCTCCCGCCCCCGCTCACCACTCCCACACCTCCCACCACTCTCGCACCTTCCACTACTCTCACTCCTCCCACCACCCTCACTCCTCCCACCACCTTCACTCCTCCCACCACCCTCACTCCTCCCACCACCTTCACTCCTCCCACCACCCTCACTCCTCCCACCACCCTCACTCCTCCCACCACCCTCACTCCTATCAAGGCTTCTATCTCTTTCCACACCATCCTCACACATCTCACTCCTCCCACCACCCACCCTTCCCTCCTCTTCTTCCTCTCCCCTTTCCTTCTCTCTGCCACCATTCATCCTGTCCCCTCGCCCATTCCCACCCTCCTCTACCACTCCCTTTCCCACACCCACTTCCTTTCCCTCCCTCCTCTCCCTCCTCGCCTCTTCCCCTCGTTCCCCCCCTCCTCTCCAGCCTTCCCTTCTTCCCCTTTCCTTTCTCGTGCCCGTCCTTGGCCGCTTCACACTCTCACCATCAGCAATCTGGCCACCAACACCATCAGCAGCACCAGTCGAATCAGTAGCAGCTGCAGTGGACACACCAGCAGCCGCAGCACTAGCAGCAGCGGCATCACCACCACCAGCAGCAGCGGTTGCACCATCAGTGGTAGCACCACCACCACCGGCAGCAGCAGCACCATCATCACCAGCAGCAGCGCCACCGTCACTGTGAGACGCCGGATCACTAGCAGCAGCAGATTCACTAGCAGGAGCAGATATGACAGCAGAAGCAGAGACAGTAATAGTGGCAGAGCCGGGAACGGCAACCGGAGGGAAGGGATGTTGCGTGCGGGAGGATGGCAGTGCTTTCCCGAGTAGACTATCCTCAGCCCCCCGGAAATGGCTGCTCGCACGAGAGGAATGTCGATTGTCTTTTTTGCGGTGCAGCCGATGGTGTATTTGGCACAGCGGAAATACGCCCTGGTGGAGAGAAGGAGGAGGAGGAGGAGGGAGGAAAAGAAAGGATTCGTAAGGTAATTTAAGAATGCACGAGGGGAATGTCGATGGTCGTTTATGCCGTGCAGTGTAGCCGATGGTGTATTTGGCACACCGGAAATACGCCCTGATGGAGAGAGGGAGGAGGTGGGTGAGAGGAGAAAGGAGAGAAGGAGGAGGGAGGAAAAGAGAGGGGTTTTGGCGCTCCAGAAATGGCTGCTCGCACGAGGGGAGTGTCGATGGTCTTCTTTGCGGTGCAGCCGATGGTGTATTTGGCACAGCGGAAATACGCCCTGGTGGAGAGAGGGAAAGAGGGGGGAGGAGAAGGGGGAGGGAGGAGAGGGGGAGGCGACGGAGGGTTCTTTAGATGCTTCAGAAATTGCTGCTCGCACGAGGGGATGGTCGATGGTCTTCTTTGCGGTGCAACCAATGGTGTATCTGGCGCACCCAAAAAAGCCCTGATAGATAGAGAGGTGCAGCATTCAGGGGAAAGAGAAAAGGGGAAGGGTGTAGGGGTGGAGAAAAAAAAAAAAAAAAAAAAAAAAAAACACACACACACACACACGTGCAACGGACACTCTTGCTGCACATCCAAACCAAGTGGCCTCGCCTGGCGTATTCGCGCTCCATGGGGCACTTCTGCCCGTACTTGTGCCAGTGGTACGGTGGTACCCTACTACCCGTCGTCCGGTGCGCTCACTTGCAAGCAGCCTCACCTGCAATTGGTCTCACATGGAATTAAGTCTCACCAACTGCTGCCTTACCCAGTTGCACCCTTACCTGGCGTATTCGCGCTCCATGAGGCACTTCTGTCCGTACTTGTGCCAGTGGTACCCGTCGTCCGGTGCGCTCAGCCGCGGTGCCGACGCTGCCACTGGGGGCAGGCTGCCCGCACTGCCCGCAGCAGCAGGAGGAAGAGGAGGAGCAGCAGCAGGAGCAGCTGCAGGTGCAGAAGTAGCAGCAGCGGCAGCAGCAGCAGCGGCAGGCGCTGCACCGGCAGCTGAACCGCCGGCGCTGCTAGTGGTGTTGATGGTCGTGGCTGTGGTGCTGGCGGTAGCAGCGGTGGCAGACGCAGGGGGTGAAGAACCGGGAACAGAGGGGTCGGATGGCCGTTGCTGCCCCTCGTGCCATGACGAGTGCCTGAAGGGAGGTTGGGAGACAGAGGGGAGAGTGGGGGAAAGAACTCGGAACAGAACGGTTGGATGGCCTTTGCTGCCGATCGTGCCATGACGAGTGCCTGAAGGGAGGTTGGGGAAAGATAGGGTGGGGGGAAGAACCCGGAACAGAACGGCTGGATGGCCTTCGCTGCCCCATGTGACTTACTGAGGGGCTGAAGGGCGCGAGGGAGAGAGACGAGGAGCAGGAAGAGGTGTGGGGGGGGAGAGGAAGGCGGAGAGGGAAGGAGTGGGGAGGAGGAGGTGCAGGAAGGGTAAGGATCAAGATACGAGCATCAGCAGGCCATTCCCTCCCTCCCCTCCCTTTCCCTCCCTCCCCTCCCTTTCCCTCTCTCCCCCCTCTCCCTTCCATCCCCTCCCTCCCCTCCCTCCCCTCCCTCCCATCCCTCCCTCGCTCCCTCCCTCCTCCCCCTTCCTCCTTTCGTCCCTTCCTCCCTTCCTTTCTAAAACCCTACCTGGCAACAGCTGCATCGATGCCCATCCCTGCTGCCATCGCCGCCATTGGAGGAGCACCTCCCATCGCCCATGCTTGCGGCGCAGCACCACTCCAGAAGCTATTAGTAACACCTCCAGGGTTACCACCATCACCAGGGTAACCACCCCCACCAGGGTAACCACCCCCACCAGGAGGCCATGACTGAAGGCCCCATGCAGAGATGCTGCTGCCTTGAATTCCCGAACCTCCCCCCCCGGCATGTGATGCTCCTGCTGCTGCGCCTGCTCCTGATGCAAAGGGAGTGGGTCGTTCGTTCGCTGCTGTTGCTGCTGCTGCCGGCGCTGCTGCGTTAGTAGCATCTTCCCTACTGTTACTAGTATGTGAGGAAAACGGTAGTGGCATGCCGACCGTGTTACCGGGACGGATACTGGGGACAGAGAACGGAGAGGAGCCACGTGGCATCATGCCAACGGACTGTGGTGACTGTAACGATGCCATCAGTGTCGGCGTTAACCAGCCTTGATCTTGCCGTTGCTGATGTACTACTAGATAGTGCTTATCTCACTGACTTTTGAGTCGACTAACCGCCCTGCGTTGGCCACATGGCAGATGCGGCTCATCACAGTTACTGCTTATGTCAGACAAAATTCTGCTTCAAACAATGTTAGTCAGCTGGGATCGGCAGGGTGTAGTAGCAGCGGCAAGAACGGACAACGAGCTGCCACTCGGAGGGACAGCTCAGAGCAGGAACTTTATACGAGCCGCTCGGTCGTTCTGTCAGGTTAGTTTGCAAGTTCGCTCAGCAACGAGTCTCTTTGCCGTCCAAAAAGGAAAACTGTGTCTCTCTTTGGGCGCTTACCGCCCAATTTCATGGAAAGAGTGCGGCGACGGTGGCGAGATTCCTCCACCCCTCCTAATTGTGGTCGTTGCCGTAGTATTTGCTTTCGCATCCACTGGATAGCCGCCCTTCGAAAAAAAAAAAAATATTTCACAAGCGGAAATCTGGAGGGAACGACGGATCTGGGTAAAGAAAAGGTTGCGAAGTGGTGAACCCTAGATCCAGAAACAGGATCCCCAAACAAACCAGCATCATGACAGGGAGCTTGCTGCTGATAAAACAGTGCAGGCACTGCAAACCAGCAGCAGAGCAAACCCTGAGGGTAAGGACCACTCTACTGCTATCCCTCGCAAAAGGGTTACAAGCACTACAAACCACCTAGTACAACTCATTAGCCACCTTCAGCTCCAATCTGCCCTCTCCCCTCTTGACCATGATGCGACCACACAGCTCCTCAAAGCCCGCACTCAACTAACAAAATACGAGGCATCCAAAACCGCCGAGCTCGCTCTAAAAGCAAAGCTCAAAGTCGAGGGCCATAGGGAGATGGGAACCTCCTCCTTGCTGGCATGACTCAACTCCCGCATCAAAGACTCATTAATCTCCTCGCTTATACTACCAGATGGACAAACCATCTCAGATCTACGAGCCATGACCGCTGAATGCACCAAATTCTTCCAGTCTCTCTACAGCGGGGCAACCTCGGACGTGCCAAATCCTGCCTTCTGGGCTCATATCCCCCCCTCTTCACTCCCCCCCAGACTCCTCAACCATCTGCAAGCTCCCTTTTCCCTAATGGAAATTAGCAAGGCCTTAAACCAGCTCTCCCGTGGCAAAACCCCCGGCCCTGACGGCATCCCGGGCGAGCTCTTCCGACAATACAAGACCCGCTTCGCCCCCGCATTTCTCTCACTCTTCTCCTCACCGCACATCTCCGCTACCCTCCCGCCGTCAATGCTGTCAGGCCGCACAGTCCTTATTCCCAAGAGGGGTAGCTCCTCTATGATCGACAACCTCCGCCCTATCACCCTCATGAACTCGGACTACAAGGTGCTAGCCTTATGCCTTGCCAATCGGCTGCAACTCGCTCTTCCCCTGATTATCCACCCCTCCCAAACCGCTTTCATTAAAAGCAGGAAAATTGGCGATACGATCAACGATACACTCGACATTTTCGACTGGAGCACAATCACGAAAACCCCACTTCTCGCCTTAACGGTTGACTTCCGCAAGGCCTATGACCTGGTCGATCGAGCTTTCCTCTTCCAAGCGCTTGCCAGGGTGGGACTCCCCGAGCAGTTCATCGCCTGGGTTCGCCTCATGCACACTAGCACCTCCACCTGCATCTCTGTTAACAACCTCGCTGGACCCACCTTCCCAGTCCGAACCGGGGTCCGACAAGGATGCCCCCTCGCCCCCCTCCTCTTTGTGTGTGTCATTGAAATCCTACAGCGCTACCTATCGCTCTTCCTCCCGGGTTTCCCCCTCTCTACGACGCAGCACCGTCTCATGGCCTGCTACGCTGACGACGTCACCATCTTCCTCTCCTCTGCTAGAGAGCTTGGGACCACACTCATACACCTCCGGACCTTTGCCGCAGTCTCAGGAGAACACCCCAACTGGAACAAATGCTCAATAATTCCTTTTCACATCTCCCCGGAACAAATCCTTCTGGCTAGCCCCATTCCCATTCGCACTCCTCAAGAGGCAGAACGCATTCTTGGCATCTACGTTGAACGTGCACAACCAGGCGCCACTACCTGGTCCACGACTCTCTCTCGCGTTCAACGCACGGCTAAGTTCCTCGCCGCCCTTCGTGCCACAGCCACCTGCCGCAAGTCACTTGCGTCAGTCTTCTTAAACTGTATCATCTCCTTCCCCGGCCGCTTTCAAACCCCCCTCCCCCGACGTTATCAAACGCTTAGACGTCTTAGACCTCTTCTGATGGTGAGGTAGCCAGAGCCGCCGTCTGCCTCCCATTTGGCACACACTGTCTCTTCGCGCACCCTGCCATCCTTCAAGCAGGCATTCTGCCAACGATAATCCCAGGTCGAGCACTCGCTGAACTACACGCATTAATAGAGATCACTCCGAACATTGCTCCACCTCGCCTTGTCCCTATGTGTATAATGGGCGAGCCTACCGCCTTCAATCGTTTCATTCTCAAACCAAACGGGAAGCCCTTCGGAATTCTCACGCGTGAACACTTCCTCCTATCTAAGCAGGTCCGTGTCGGCCATTTGATCTCTCTTATCTTCCACTCGTTTGGTGTGGTCTCCTTCAAACACTTCACCTCACTGTTTCCCATAGCCAACTCCTCCTCTGGACGAAGAGTCTGGCGCGAACTCATCCGTGCCATCCCCAAACCTTGGTGGTCAGCCTTTCGCTCCCCCCCTCCCCCCTCGGCAGTCCCTGGGGAGTGGTTCGTCCCTAAAGATGACTCCGAGACCTCTCCCACTATTGCTTTCCAGGTCACGGCCTTCTCCCCTCCGTCGTCACTCTCAGTCTCCCTTTACCATGTCCTGCCCAACCGATTCATCGTCCGACCGTCGATCGGAGATGGCACCTTCCACATAGGTGCCCTCTCTGCGGTACACGTTGTTGGGTCCTGGCTTGCAGGCCCCTTCCATACAGGTGCAGGGCTCGGCGCGCGGCTCGACATCCTTCGGGACGGCTGCCCAAGCGTAGCTGACATTCGTCGCCGGCTCTACGCTCAACTTCCCCTCGACCACGCCGCCCGCTGGATCCACGTCCTCCCCGCTCCTCCTCCCCTCCTCCCCGACCTCTCCCATGCCTTTTTACGGGAGCAACCCAGCCTCCAACGCGACGTCTTGTACCGGTTCTACACTCGCGCTCTTCCTTCGGGTTCACGCTTCAACTTCGCCGCAGACCGTGGGATTTGTTCACTCTGCCTTGCCGCTCCCACAGAGACCATATCCCACATTTTCTACGAGTGCGGGGTGGCCCCCGCAGTGATCTCCGCCCTCTCCTCCGTCGCTCGTCGCCACCTCCACTGCTCTCCTCCTCCTGAGCTCCTGCTCTTCCCGCTCGCCTCCAGAGCCGGCCAGGTGGCCCCCTGGAGCCTTCTGGTTGGGGCATCTACAAAAGCTATTTGGAACGCACGCTGTGAACACAAGTTCCAAGATTCGCCCTCCTCCCGGTTTGAAATCCTCCAGCTCATACTGGCAAAGTTCCTCATTGCTTTTAAAATTTTCTTATGGCGCAGGAAGAAACAATCAGTGAAAAAACAACAACGCTCAGCCGCTCGTATTAAGCTGGCCACTCGACTTCGCTTCCTCGTCTTCGACCACAACGGAACCCCTTCTATCCACCCAGACCTCCGCTCTTCCTGGCTGCTTGGGGACCCCTTCCGCCCCCCCTAGCCCTCCCACCCTTTGTTGAGCATAGAAGAGCTCCCCAGCTGAGCTGGTGGCTATCCATTGGATAGGGGAATAACGTGTTTTCCTACGTACGCCTCTGGGCTGTTGGTTTGTGTAGACCATATTTCTAGCTACTCTATGCTTTGCTGTACATGGTTACGACCTTATATAACCTTAACCTTAACCTTAACTCTACTGCTATCCCTACACTAGCTGAGCACAGCAGGAAAATGTGGCAAGGATGAGTCAGAAGGGGATCTAAAGTGGTTGCATTCTGTCATTGCAAGTCTGCAACCCATGCAAGCAAACCCTCGACTGCAGCTATTTCGCGTAGAAATCTGGTTTCTTGGTTCGTTAGCCAATCGTGTTGCATCATTTGATTCACAAACAAGGGTTTTTTTTAATGTCGGTGATTTTAGGGCCGTGCGACAAAATGATGTTGGCGCACTCGGTCCACACAATGGAGCGTACTAAGTTCAAAGCCGTTCTGTTTCGTCCCATGTTGCATCTGAAACTTTTTGGTTTGGTCTGGTCTGGAGTTGAATGGACGGGGAAGCCTGGAGGGAGCGAATGTGTGGTTCACGGTAACTGAATCACGTGCAATCACATTCTTGAAAGACGCATGTCAGGACTAACGAACATGAACAGCGCACGAGGCCTCAAGTGGCCCATTTTCCTACACCAGAGGGGTTCGGAACACAACGCAGAACCACGAGTACGACCTCGTACATGACCCGAAACCCAGGCAATCAGAACGCGCCCTGAAGTGTTGCATTTCACGCCCATAAAGGACAAGCTCCACCGCACTTTTTTACAGACCGCGTATACGAGTGCGCTACGAGCTGAAGCCGACTCGAAGGAACCATATGTATCAATTGTGCGGTGGTACCCCATACAAGCTATTTCTCACAGATCAAAACGTTCAGCCTCATACTCCATACAATAGACACCGGATGCTGAAGCTGTTGCAATTCTCATGTT